TCCCTGTGCGCAAGAAGGTGGCTACGGCCACAGTTGCGCACACTCTGATTGTAACAAAGCGAAATTACACCCTCCCCCCCTCTCCCTTAAAAAATAAGTGAAACGGTGTACTCCCGGTGCGCCCTTCTTTGCCTCGTGAGCGAGCAGCGCTGGCTCAAATCTTTGTTGTGGCTGCCTTCCTAGCCCCTGGGAGGCTCGGGATTCCTTTCTGGAAGCAGCAGGGCAAAGTTTCTTGCACGTTGGAACGACGAGAGGGCCCCCTGCTCTTGCCCCCTGCTGGTTGGAGCGCAGCAGCCCCGCCATATTTACTTCAGCCTCACCTTCTCCCTTCTCTGCTGTTGCAGGCTACTACGCGGACCAGCTGTCCATCGGCCAGGAGCTCCGGGGCAACCTCACGGTGCAATTCAAGAATGAGAGCCGTGGCTTCCACCTCAACAACCTGTCGTACGCGGGGCCCATCATCATGGGCTGCGGAGGTGAGTGTTTGACGGGGAGCCGCCCGGTCGACGTCTCATAAGCTTTCCGTACTTGTTGACCACATAACCAGTCGCAGTAGAGCCGTAGTGCTTCGCGACCGCCCGCGCCCGCGCGGTGTTTCTTCACGTAAAACAATAGGGTATTTCAGAGCTGGTGGTGAAGAAGTAAAATGGAAGAACAAAACGCGCACTGCTCATGCGCAGATGCGGAGTGGGGGAAGTAGGGGATGGAGTGGGGGGCGTCCGCTCAGGCGCAGTGCGCGTTTTGTTCTTCCGTTTTACTTCTTCACCTCCAGCTCTGAAATACCCTATTTAAAAGCTAGCAAAGATCGAATTCTACAGACGGAACGGAACAATTTGCTTCCGCTCAGCGTCGGTCCGTGGTGGCCTTGCGAGGCGTGGCGCGGATGGCGGGGCGCGGTGGGGCGAGCCGTTCAAATATTTGTGCAGTGCGGTCACGTTCGAAAGGTGAATAGAGCGGCGCCATCTGCAGCTGGCCAGGTGCGTGACGGGCCAGGTGCGGTGGCAGCTGTCCCGGCCCGGCGGCACAGGACCTGGCGCAGTGCAGTCTAGAGCGCGGGGCGCGGGGGCGAGGAAAAGGGGGGAAGGGGGGACGAAAGCACCAACTAGTCCAGAGCCCACACTGAAAAAGAATCATTGTTCCAACGACCGTCGTGTTCTTGTGGCCGGATCGTTGGTCCAAAGACACGATACTGCTAACCTAATGTCGTTGAGCCAGCATATCAAGGTCGTTAAATAGCACCTGAAGCCATTCCAAGAACAAAATGTTGTTGGAGGTGCAACTCTCGGTACAATGATTCTTTTTTTGCGTGCAGTCCCTTTGCAAATGAAATAGTTGACAAGATGTAATACGGTACGCGAAAGAGAGTGGAAGACAAAGTCGCGCACATTGTTTTCGTAAGTGTCAATATGTCCCACACTTTTCTGGGTCTTTTGACAGGCACTTCAAGGATTGAGAATGTCACACTTTTACCCCTACTCCACGCAAATGCGACCGTCTACTTACTTCTGACTCCCCTCTGGTCCGGCCTTCTGGTTCCCTCTGGCTGCTGGTGGAGCGCACTACCCAGGAACTCTCCAGAAGCCGATTTAGGCGAGTGAAATAAATCCGATTCCGAGGTTCGATCACATACAAACGGGTACGGTGGGGCAGAAATGGAGGGGGGAAGGGGAGCAATAACATGCAAATGCTTGAGATGCCGTCAACGTAGTGCGAGGGGAAGAGGAGAGGGGGGGGGGCTCTCGTGTACGCCCACCCAAACCCGAAGGTCAGCCGCCAGCCACCCTCCTCGCTCTACCACACCCCACCGCGCCCTGCCCCGTCCCGTATAGCTCTTGCCGGTGACAGAACGAGACTGGCATGAAGGGTCAGTTTGCCCTCTCGGCCTGCCCTTGGCCTGCCCAAGCTCCTTTCCCAATCCCCGCTGGTATATTTCTACCTGATTGCCGATCGAGGACGGCAAAATGATTTTCTTTTCCTTTGCACTGCTCCGGTGCCCTTTGTGCTGGCCTACTATTTCCGCGTCTCACTCTCACACCCCGCTCGGCCACTCTGTCAGGACAGTTTCGAATAAAGCGGTCCCCGTTGGACATATAAATAAACGAACAGCCAGTAAGCGCCCCTCTGACAGTGATGCGGCAACCCAACCGCCCGACCCGTGCTTCGCTGCCATCAACAATATTTTCGCTCGCTCTCGAGAACCCTCGATGCGAAACGAGGCTCTGCAAACATGGCCGCTTGTTGCTCCCTGTCCCGTATTCAGCAGCGGCCGAGCGGCGCATCACGCGCCGAAAGTCGTGCGGAGGCAAACATATCAGGGAGGCTGGCGCTGGAGGGGGGAGAGGGGTGGGTGGAGCCGCGGCCCCCGGTATGTGGAGG